TATTATTCTTACTTTTTGATATTAAAAATTATATTTAACTTAACAATATTAAGAAAAGAAATTGACTTTTATTTTGTACTTACCAGGTTCTGGGTTGAATGATGGACAGTGGCATGAGGTCCGTTTCCTAGCCAAGGAAAATTTTGCTATCCTCACCATTGATGGAGATGAAGCATCAGCAGTTCGAACTAATAGTCCTCTTCAAGTTAAAACTGGAGAGAAGTACTTTTTTGGAGGTAAGAATGCCATTGTTTATTGGTTAATTAATACATTACTAAAATTGGAGTTTCAAAATGAAGTTTGATTATGATAGATTTATGTTTGATTCAGTGGATTCAGTAAATCTCAGGATGAAACAAACAAGAAACAAAAAAACTCTGTGATTTCATTAAGCTAAAAAGAGTTGAAAATTTTTGTTTCTTCCTGATGAAGATTCTTATGTGATGTCACCATATTCTTATGGTCCAATTCAAATCTTCGACAAATAACACTTGAGATTCTGAAATCATTGATTCTCATAATACTCCAGATTCAGGTCCTTGGATTATGTATTGGTCACCTATTTCTATGTAACTAATTACTCCAAACTCTAGTGTTTTAAACAACAAACATTTATTATCTCACAGTTTCTCTAGAGCAGGAATTCAGAAATGACTTAGCTGGGTGATTCTGAGTCAGGGTCTCTTATGAGGTTGCCCTCAAACTGTTGGCTGTGGTGCGTTACTCAAGACCTTGACTGAGCCAGATTGCCTCCAGGAAGTTGTATTCACCTGGTTACAGTCAGTGCGGCTGCTGGCTTGGGTGCCTCAATTCCCCTCCATGTGGCCTCTGATTCTGCAGTGCCTCTCTTCTTCAAGCTGCTTCTTCTATAGGTGACTGGAGAGAGAAAGAGAGACACAGAGAGAGAAAGGAGGGGCAGAAAGAACGTTTTCAAGATAGAAACCATAAGTATTTTTTTTAAATAATCCAATTTTGGCAGTGACATCCCATCATTACTGCCATATACAATGTGTTCAAAGTGAGTCACTAAATCCAGCCCACACTTCAATGAAGAGGGTTACACAAGGGTGTGAAAACCAAGAGCCAGGGATAGCAGGGCCATTTTAAAGGCTACCTACTACCACTGTTTTACAGGTTTTGGTTTCCAAGCCAAGCAATCAGGAGAATGTTGACTTCCTCTTGGGTTTTTGGTCTGCCTTTAGGATATGCTGTCAGCAAATGATCATGATGATGCTTGTTTGGTTATATCCTCATTGACTAAATCCTCAGAGTATATAAGAATCACCAGAACTCATTACAATTCATGTTCTCAGGCCCCATCCCTGGAACTACCTCATATGAGAAGCCATCTTATCACAAATGTCGTGGTTCTTAAGTAAAGATTAGTAAAAAGATTCTCTTATGATAAATTCTACATTTGTGAAAGAGTATTGTAACAAGGACCTGCCATATTTTCTAATTGAAGAAATGCATCCTGCCAGGAAATGATTTTTTTAAGTATTAATGAATTATGAAGACATCTTTTATTAAAGTGCTAGATGTGTTGTATAGATCGATACATCTTTCATTAGATTATTGGCTTCCTCATCCTAAATCATGCAATGTGAAAGCTGAAGAAAATAATTGCATTCTTAGGAAAGTCTTTTGTTTAAACTTAAAAACATATATGTTACATATATTTGCCTCTG